ATGTAAAACAGCGAATCGATAATAAAAATCTGCATCGACAAATTTACATAATCGAAATCATCGATTATTTCAACCAATCGGTGCAGCCCTAAACTCAAGGCCCACGGGACAAATGGGGCCCGCCACAGCATTTTCGGTGGCCCATGAGAGCTGTATTAATGTCGTAAAACAAGCATATGTTCATTTAAAGCCAGCACTGACCACAAACTACATCTCCCTTAAAAATTTTAATTTTTTTACTCGCAAAAAAAAAAACAAAAAAAAAACAGCATCCCACCACTAGGTGGAGGTGAACAGGGTTCAAAAGTACAGTCGGCAAAACTCACCGTGTAAAATCGTCATTTCGCTGCAGTCTAGTTATACTGAGAAGTGGGAATTTCCCACTTATAAGTTGTAAATTTAAACTAAAATGCTACATCCAGTGGACATTCCCTGTCGGAAAGTGGGAGAGTTCAGAATTGAAGATGGTAGAAACTCACTACAACTCAAGATAATGTAAAACTCTTTACTTTTAATAGTATTTCTGAATTATTTATTCACATTAATCAGTCGTACACACAGTACTGCTCAGTGTTTAAAAGAGGATGTGTTAAAACATTGTTTCAATGCAGGAAATACCACATAGAGTAGAGTTATTGTTTGTTAGCGGTGCTCAGCCGGAGCAATGAGATGAAGAATGTATCGTTTTGTATTTAGTTGAAATTAAACATGAAATGTCAAAGTTCATTACAACTGGCCCTTTGAGGGCCACCATAATGCTCATGTGGCCCTCARTGAAAATGAGTTTGACACTCCTGATCGATTGGGTCTAATCAGAGCTGCAGTCAAACACTGATGGGGCAAATCGGAGACAATGAGGAGTTCAGTGTGTTGTGGAACACCTCAACATGGCACCTCCTGCTCAATGCTCTGAGCCACAGCTCACCTCAAACGTGTTCTTGGTCATGCCTGTCAGGCCGTAGTAGGAGGTTCCTGTGGAGATGGAGCAGACACAGAGTTCACCGATCTCATCTGTCTGACAGAGCTGAGGGACGCCCTCTGGCTTCACCACACACACCAGGCCTGGAAAACAAAGAAACACACGGTTCAAATCAAAACACAGTCATTTATGCAGCACATTTAAAAACAACTGYGCTCAGCCAAAGTGCTGCACACAAAACAATACGAAGTAAAAAGACAATAACAAATACAAGAGGCCATAAAAACAATCAAAAATAAAAATCCTATCAACTCTCATTGGATTAAAAACCAGTGAGTACAAATGTGTTTTACTGTAAGATGAGACTTTAAAACACCACGAAGGGGCAGTGATTCCACAGTTTAGAAGCTGCATACCCCTGAGGACCAACCCGGACYTCAGGACAACTATAGATCACTTAACAGCTTACAGTAGTTTAAATAAAATGCACAGTGAAAAAAACAGGATCATCTCAGCAGCAACATTATTCACTCTGAATGCACCTGGGTATAAAAACGAGCCGCTCGTTGCATTTCACACCCTATAAGCTTAAAATAGTTGGTTCTAATCCAAGTAAGTCCATCTGCTAAAGTCTGGGTCCAACACAAACCAGGTTACAGATAACTGGGGTAGAAACTGAACGTCTGAAGCAGGAAATGAAACTTAGTGAGTTTTTATTCATACAGTTCATTAAGCTGTCAGGWATGAAAGAGGTTTTTATTGAAAGCTGCACATCAAGTCTGAACATCTCTTTCATCGCCTGATTAGGAATTTACTCTTTCTTTAGCTTCAAGATGTTGTCAGTAGTAAATACATCTACAGTACCAGTTTTGTACATTTTATTTACAGTCTGTAATTGTGTATACATTACAGTATATAGACTAAAGTATTTGGCCACAACTATCCCTCACATAAACAGAAAGTACATGGAGTTGGTCACCTGTTTTCAGCTATAACCCTTCCACTTTTCTTGGAAGGCTTTCTACACGATTTTAGAGGGTTCCTGGTAATTTAGTGCGTCTTCTTTCTGTAGAGCATTATGAGGTGAGGCACTGATGTTAGACGAGGAGGTCTGGCTCAGAGTCTTTCATCCCAATGGTGCTTGATGGGGTTGAGTTCAGAGCTCTGAGCCAGTCTAGTTCTTCCACACCGAACCCATCAAACTATGTATTATAGTCCTTGTTTTGTGCATTGGGTCATCATGTGGCAACAGAAAAATAGCTGGAAGCACAGAACTTGTATTTTAATACAATGATGAGTAAATTACCTTACAATATAATTCTTGAGTTTTTATAAAATTATAACGCAAATATTTAATTRAAATATTGTATTACATGCTCATATATTTTGAATCTATCAGACCAAACTACATATCTGATAGATCAAAACATTAAATAGATTTGATCAAAAACTAAAACTCTGTAATGTCTAACAGGAACTATGTGTAGGGCCTGAAACAAGAATRCTGCAAAGAACATGCAGCCCAAAAACCATCAGAAGAATCTCTACATTTTCATGAGGCTTTTAGGTAGGATTGGGTTCTACACAGAGTGTGTTCATTATGTTTTCTCTCATGCAAAATAAAAAAAGACTAAATCGCACATACTGTATATAGTATACATTTGAACAGCTWTCTGTCATGGTCTGTGTTTATTTTGTGTATTTTCTGTTAATAGTTTGTGCWTATCCTCCTAGTATTTTCTCTGTGTAATCCAGTGCTTTTCCATTCTGTCCCCCTGTCTGTCAATCCTCCAGCCCCGCCCTCGCTCACCTGTTTCCTCGTGTGTCTCCTCTTTTCCTGTTTACGCATCGTTAGTCGGCCTTTATATCCTGTGTCCTGTCCTCAGTGTTTGTCGGATCATTGTGCCGTTTCCCCACAGTCTGTGTAAATGTCCCACATGATTGTAACTCCTCATTGTTCCTAGTAAGTCTTTAAAGCTGCCACATCAGCATTTTTCTTTGGTAATAAATACTTTGATTGCTCGCCTCGCCTTTGCCTGGGTCAATCTGCCACTAATCCAYGCACTATTTCAAAAATATGTTGCTGTTTACTAGTTTAGCTTTTCTCTGGTGCTTTTAACACACAACTGCTTTCCCCACTGTTCCTCCAGAAAACTTCAGTGAAATCTATTTTGCTTCAGGAAACAATGACGACAGGACAGACGGACTACTTGRTGAAAGTGGAACGATTTGACAAGTTAAATCATCCCACATAACATTTTATAGGAATAACAAGGCAGAATATGACGCTGGTTTGTTCACGAAAATCCAAAAATCAAAAAGATGTTTTTCGTTTACTCATAGATTATCAAGATTTCAGACTATTGTTTATGGGCAGAGAGAGATCACTGAGAAGACCATCTCATCTCGTTCTATTTTCACTTTGCACGTGGAAACGATTTTCAGCATCAACATATCCCAGTTCTGCACTTGCAGATATTTGAACAGGGCAAAGAAAAACAGCTGGAAACACACATCATGTGCCACACATACACTCACCTCCTGGTGTGATGGTGCCCACGTCCTGCACAGTGAGCACAGACAGACGTTCCTCAGTGTCCACTCTGACAACGCCGTAACTCAGACCCTGCATGGACAGAACGCCACGACCCGGAGGCTGGCTGCTGTCCTCCACCGGCCTGAATATAAAACACGACACAGACAGTGATGAACCACAACAACACGCAAACTATAGGGTTAGACAGAGAACGTATTGACTGGTAACTGGTTACAGCCAGTTTGTTCCAGTCTATCCTCCTCGATGATATGTTTGCATGCATTAGGCATGCAATGATGTTTGCATATTTCTGCTCACATATTCATAAAAAATGTCTACATGCAAAGCAGTGCTGCGGGTGTTTACCTCCTAATGGCAACAGTCAGGGCCTCCGGGGAGCTGGCGCAGGGACAGATGACCTCAGTTCTCAGCCCTTTGGTCTGAAACACGTTGAGGAAGGCGTCGCAGGAGGAGATGGACCCTAACATACAGAAACACCCACAAACCATTAGATCTGATCAACATTCAGGGAAAATAAATTCTAACAGCTATGATGCAAGTTTCTGACAAACACAATCAAAATTAAAAATGAATGGATGGAGTGTGCACACCTCTGCCGGTGGTTTCCCCCACCATTRTTCAAGAATGGTTGGGGTTCTGTCAACACAACTGAGTGTCCTGCCTACAAAAATAGACGTTTTTTTTGTTCGCTGATGTCAATTATTTGTGGTAGCCATCTTGAACTGGGACGACCAGTTGTGTACATATATTCAATCATTACCTTTTTAAAATCGGTCCAGTGKTTCATGAGATATYGTGTTAGTAGAAAGACAAGGTTTAAAGCATTTAAAGTTGTTTATGTTTCAGACTATTGTTATGCTGTTATGATTAAGGCTGATGCAGCAGTAATAAAGAGTGCAGCTCAAACTGGTCTAAAAAATGCTTYGTGTTGTTATTTTGTAGTTTACCCAGAAGAAATGTACTCATAACCCTCAGATACAATAAGAATAAAAACCTGAAGGACTACAGAAGTGTTCAGGAGCACAATGAGGTTATTTTCCTCAGGCTATGTTTTTAAACACTATTTTGACTTTACTCTTAAAAACCAACATGCCGTTGTAAAAACCAGTGCAGGGCTGGTTGATTTGTTGAYGTTAGAAATTTTCTAAACACAAACTGAACCAGAAATCAGCTCTTTAAGGAAAAAGTGCCAGTTTCTTCAGACTGTGATGCTTTTGTCAAGAAGAAAATAAACTTTTCACTGAGAACTCCCTCTGAGTTTAAAATAAGTTTCTTCTGCTGAATTTCCGTTTCGCTTCACTTAATTCAGACTGGAAAACATTTCTCGGACCAAATSTGCCGAGTCTGAGCCATCTTGTTCTATTCTTGTAGAATGACCCAGTTTCCTGGAATCCCCTAAAGAACCCATCCATTTCCCTGACATTCTCCGTCTGAAACCACCTGAACTCAAGTTTCCTGTTGGTGGAAGAACTCGTCGGCGGAGGCGGAGCAGGGACTTACAGGGGTTCGATCCGTCAGCGACCAGCAGCATGCGCAGGGAGCTCAGGTTGATGTCCTTCTGGTCTTTGTGGGCCACCAGAGCCCAGTGCATGTCCCTGGACTTCACACAGGCCACTTTAGCTGCAAGACGAGATGCAGAGAATCCCACAGAAAATCAGCCTTTCATCTGTTTGACAGGCAGCTGAGGGAYGGGGGATGGGTGGGGCAGGGCGGGGTTGGAGTCTGACCTTTGTACTGGCAGACCTTCTGGATCCACGACAGAGGGTTGACCTTCATCAGCGAGTATGGCACGCTGATCACGTGCATCATGTTCATCACGCTCTGCACAAAAACACTGATTAAAAAGCATCCACTGCCAGTTTTACGTTTAATAAAATCTRTCTGTTTTGGAATCAAACACTAGATTTAACATTTAACTGGTCYGAGTTTGACATTAAGATGCTGATCTCTGCTTTCAAACAAGCAGCAGGTCTCACCGTCAGGATGCCGTGCCACAGGCCCACGTCCTTCTTAAAGTCCAAAACGTTCACTATGGTCTCGGCTGCAGAACGAGAGGAACAGAAAAGGTTTAGATCACTTATTTAGAACTCAACCAAACAAAGTGTTGTGGTGTGAGTGTGTGGCTACCCTCTGTGTAGCTGCAGGACTGGGTGAGAGCCTGGCAGTGTGTTAGCAGAGCGATCCTCGTCACAGTAACGCCCAGCACACTGCCGTCTTTACATGTTTTATACTGAGGAAAAACAACACATCATTGAAATTATGGGTGCACGATAGTYATCAGCCCGATAYCATAACAAACAGAACCGATAATATCTGTACATGTTTGACAGTGCGGTGATGAGAATGCGTGTTTATTTTTATCCTTTTTGGTCAAGCCGCTTCCTGTCCGGCACGACCMRAGCAACGTTCAAGTTGTGTCGGAAAATACTACTATGTCACTAGAACAATAATTAGAATCCTCCGTGTKGAAAAACAACCAGAYGTTTTTGSAATTWTTAATATTATTTTMCCAATTAACCCTGYATGTTACACACAAACTTTATAATTATAAACATTSGAACAACTACTCCCAAYTTGAGAACAWGTAATGTCCTTTATCTCCTGAAWGCAGCACAGWGTCCRTCTGCTAAAATGCTAACAACAACAAGCTAGCGTTCAAGAACTCGTCTGGACTTAAATCATTCCTGAGGCTTTTGACAAATCCAAAATAATTGCCAGAGAGGACGCAGATCTCAAGCACTTTAACGATGGAAATGATGACAAGCAGCCGTTCATYCTCGCTAAAGACCAAAGCTTTTATCTCTGTTAGCCATGGTTTACCATGCGGAACAACCACTGCCTCTGTGTGTCTTCCTGTAAGYATGATGCAGTCGTAATGCATTCACACTTTGATTGACAGGTTATCATTTCTGCACTATTATCTCAGAAGCACTGTTTCAGGTAGAAAAATGTTTAAACCATATATTAATTAATAATAACAAAAACAAATGTACTTTGAATATAACTTATTTTAAGAACGATAACCGATAACTTTCTCCCTCTAATGGCCGATAACCGATAATAATCGACAACATGCCAGGAGATAAGACTAGTCAAAAATGGGTAAGATCATAACATAAATAAACAAGACCAAAACCAAGTGACACTGTAAATTATACTATTTAAAATAAACCCTTAACAAACAAACATTCCTTAAAGTATATCAAACAAAACAATTTCTCCAATGGCCGATAACCAATAATAACCGATAACATGCCAGGAGATAAGACTAGTGAAAAATGGGTAAGATCATAACATAAATAAACAAGACCAAAACCAAGTGACACTGTAAATTATACTATTTAAAATAAACTCTTAGCAAACAAACATTTCTTAAAATATATCAAACAAATCAATTTCTCAAATGGCCATTTTTTTTTTAAATAAGGCACATTCACTATAAAAAAGACTTTTAACACTGATCTCAGATTTAAGCAAAAGAGAAAAGTCATTCCACAAGTTCAAAACAGATAATGCACTAACACAAGTTATCGTACATCTCTAATTGAAATCAGACGAGAGAGGTGCTTTGAGGAGGATTCAGTCTTATTTAAAATGCAACAGTATGATAAAGATCTTGAAATAACAACAAAGTGTTTATAATGTTTTTGCCTGTGTCTGTCTATCTTTTAGCAAAATATCTGATGAACCACTGAAGGCATTACCATAAAACTTGCAAAACATAATYACTGGATGTACATCTTTGGGGTCAGTCCAAATGTATACATGTTGTATTGTCATTCTAATAAAATAATTGTGTTTCTTTACTATATTGCTCAGTCATACTGAGATAGCTGTATGACTGATAAACTCCAGTTCATATCACACTGTAATATATCTGATTCAGCAGCAATAAATGAATTAAATTAAATTTACATTCAACTTTCTGGTTTTGAAATTTCACAGTGAGATTAACTTGAACATCTATAATCACTTTGAATAATGACCCTAAATCTCATCTGTCAGGGCAGGTTTCAGCGCAGAATCAACACCAGGAAAGCTTCTTTCAGTCCTGATGGTCGGTGAGGTGACTGGAGGAACGCTGGCTCAGATTTACTGCTGTCCCTGCTTCTGCTGACGCGTTTACAGAGTTTTGTACGTGTGCATCTCTGTTWGCCCACCTCTATGTAAGCTGTGTCATTGTTTGCATCCTTGATGTGTGGGAACCAGTCTCTGGGGGGTTTGGAGAGGTGCTTCGACTCGGTTACAAACCACAGCAGCTTCGGCCATCCTGCAGGGAGGAGATGYGACAGAGAAAGAAGGAAATGACAAATGAACACACAGCACGAGAAGTTAGCTGGTGGAAATGTGTTCTCAGTTTCCAGGCTTTGTTTATTTAGAAATATATTCTCTAGTTTCAGCCAATCAAAAGAGTTGTCACTGTGCATATGAATGAACTCCCCTCCTCCACATCAGGCTTTCACAATCCAGCAGTGATTAATGATTTATTCTCTCACCTTTGAACTGCGGGATCTCTCCTGTTGCACTCTTGGGAAGACCCTTATGGCAGGCATCGCTGGTCAGGGCCACGGTAACGCCACAGCTACCCAACAGGAATCCAATCTGCTGGCTGCCTGCATCCTATTGGACGATACAAGAAGTGAGGGAACCCAGAAAATACAGTCAGGTTATAATGTTATACTCTCATAAAAAAACATGCCCAAA